TGGTATAATGAAAAGACTCCTGGTGGCTAAGGGTTCATCATGAACTTTGCACACTCGTTAATTGAGAAGATAGGAGTTTGATAGAGAACATAAGAGTTATGAAGGGTTAAGGTGCTAATCAAATGTTTATCTCAATCCAGCGATGATTCCATAGATTTAAAACCCATTCAAATTTCTACAACATCATAGTGAGGACAAAGTTACCAATGGTGTACTAAGGCTACTAAGACTTTCCCTAAGACTTACTGTGGAATCATAAAGGATGGTGTTACCTTTTACAATACATTTTCTGTGGACATAAAACTGGTCTGAAAACATATTCAGGGACTAAAATCGTAAGCCTCTTTCAGTCATTTTGGACTCTCAAATTAATTAATTTATGAAGACCCTTTTGGAACTCATCCTATTCTAAAGGATAAATTAGTATTAACTGTTTCCCAAATGTCTATATCTTGTTTTTCCAATAATATTGCTGAAGTTCTTCACAGGCAATGACAATGTTTCTAACTATAACATCTAGTCTAAATAAATGCCTATTGAATGAACAGTCAAAAGTAAAAACTTAGGTATGATAAATCAGCATGAACTGAGAAATCCTACATCAACATTTTTGTATAGCATTCATTAATTTGTATTGATCTGTATCACTCTGAGAATGTATGTAAAGAGTATCATAGTTCATGTAACAAGAGCTTCCATTTCAATGAGAAAACATGATTATGGATATATACATAAGTACATGCCACTTAAATGTATCAAATTGTTTAGTGATAATAAAATACCATTTTACCAGTATGTTTCATACTCATAGAAAACAATTAAGATAACTCTTAGAGCAAAATATTAAAAGTTTAGCTTTTAAGCAAGTAGTATTATGACAGGCAAAAAAAGAGTTCAGCTTTTTGGGGGGGCGCATTTCAAAGCACACTCCTGCATCCTAGGCAACAATATAAAATTTTGGATCACTAACATTAATATTAACATATGTTCCAGATGCATGTTTTGCAAACACACACACACACACACACACACACACACATACTCGTTCTCATTCTCTCTCTGCCTCTCTCACCACCCCCACCTCTCTCTCTCCCTCTCCCCATATATAAACATATAGTCATATGGAAAGACAGAGTACATGGAAAATAATAGACACTAAAAACAAGTTGTGTAATTTTATAAAAGACATAAATACCATGAAAACACTTACTTCATCAGCCACCATACACCTGGAAAAAATAAAAACAAAACCAAATTAATTTCTTAATTATCAAAGTCAATCATTTTAAAACTTCTGATTAAGTAGCTTTCCACAAAATAGTTTACAAATGCTAAAGTACTAAGCCAGAGAGAGGTATTTATAAGTGTGCATGAGAACATGGGCCAGTGCTGATTTTATACGACTCTCCAGATGCCAAAGGCATATGGCTATGTGGGAGCGTTAGAGCTTCAGCTTCCCACGGCCTACACATGAAGACAGCTATAATGACCCTTCAAAAATGTGAGCAAAATGGCAAGTGATTGTACCAATAACTTCCCTTCCCTCATCCTTAAACTATAAGATTGGTCTTCCCTAGAAATTAGAAGAATGTTGCATTAAAGTGCAGGAAAATAAGTGTCAACCACATATTAGCATAACTTAAACATGTAACTATATATCCTATAGTATATATGCTAAGCCTATTTTCAAGCTAAGTTTTGATTTCAATTATTTTGCTGAACTTTCTCTTCTCTATTCTTTCTGATTAACCTATGGAATTAAATTCTATCCAATGAAAATTGAGAATAGGGGGCATAAACTAAGGTCCTAAGTAGAAGAAAAAGCAAAGAGCAAAGGGAAAGACTAGCAGGCATGGTTAGGATCACCAGGGTCCCTCTGAGACAGCAAGTACATCACAGAGAAAAACCAATCTCTTAACTGAGAAGATTTCCAGGCAATCCAAAAAGTACTAGAAACTATAAAAATTGGCAAGGAATAAAGTCTTTATTTCTTTTATTCTTCACTTTATTCTCAATGGTCTTGACATTATACAATTTTACAAGATTTCTTTTTAAATAAAATACAGATTAAAAATTTGGAGTAAATATATTATCAAGGAATAAGTTACAGGTAAAATGGAATTTAGCTCTAAAAAAGAAAAAAGATGCCAGCTTACATAAT